AATTAATATAATAAATTAAAAGCTTTTTTTAATAATAATAAATTAAAAAGTAAAAAGTTTAATAAAGATAAATAGTTTAATAATTATAATAAATTATTCTTTATAAATAAAATTCTTTATAAAATTCTTTAAGATATTAAAACCTTTATCTTTTATTATCTATTTACTTTTATAATATCTTTACTATACTTTTAATTTATTATAAATCTACTTTTATTAATAATATATAATTATAAATTTACTATATATTCTCCCCTAACTAAGTAATAATCTATTTAAAATCTTATTATTATATTACTTCTACTATCTCCTCTATTATTACTTTTTATTTTATATTATTTTAGCTTTTTAATTCTTAATTTCTTAATAACTTTATTAAATTTAACTATTTATTTATTTACTTTAGCTAAATATAATTAACTATAATTACTTTCTTTTTATATTTTATATTTTTAAATTATAATTTATTTAAAGATCTTCTTTTTATAATTATATTTATATAGTTTTTTTATAGGTATTCTTTCTATTAATCTCTTTATAATTATACCTTTTATTAATTTTTATATTATTACCTTTTTTAAAATAAGCTAGGTAGCTTTTTTTTACTTTTTTTTATTTATTTTATATTTTTTCTCTTTTTCTTTTTCTCTCTTTTATATTTTATCTTTATTTAATATTAATATCCTTTTTTAGAATAAGATACCTTTTCTCTTATTTATAGCTTTTTTCTATTCTTTACTTCCTCTTCTTTTAACTTTAGCTATTTTTAGCTTTTCTACTTTTTTCTTTTTAGATAAAATAAAGTAAATCTAATTTTCTATTTTATAACTTTATAACTTTATAACTTTATAACTCCCCCTTTTCTTTTTTATATAAGCTTACTATTATTAACTTATTTAATAATTATATTTATCTTTTTATATAATAAAAATTATCTATATTATTAGGCTAATAGAGGTTACTACCTAGCTAGTAGTATAAAGAGATAATAGACCCTATAAGTTTATAATTCTAACCTACTAAGAACTATAACCTTAGCACTAGCTTATAATCCTAGCTTAGTTAGTAAACACTAATAAGTAAGTAAGAGCTACCCTTCCTTATAAGCTATCCTTTAAGATAGTAATTATAAGTAGAACTAAGGGTAAGTGAGAAAGGGATTATAAGTAAGGGTATACTAGATATAAAAGGGGAGGAATCCTTTACTAGCTAGAGAGAAGAAACTAACCTTTTACTATCTTATAATAGATATTATAGCTTCTATTATAACTATTATATCTTATAAGAAAGTAATACCTAGTAACCCTTAAGGATTAGTAACCCTTATAGTAACTAAGTGATTATTAAATTACTCTAGAGATAATATTATCTCTCTAATAGCTTCTTAATAGCTTAGTTATTAGTAAGCTAGTTAGTATAATATTTTATTATAATATATATAAATAAGCTTAATTTATTATTTTTAGTTTTATAATTATAATAGTTATTAATATCTATAAATATATTATTTATAAATATAAATATATAAATTACTTTTTCTTATAATTTCTAATTTTTTACTTTTCCCTCTTTTTATTACCCCTTTTCTCTAAGCTAGTAATAATATTAGTAATATAAATAATAGCTTTAATATAAATATAAATAGTAAGATTAATAATATCTTTATAGGTATTCCTCCTATTATCTATATTATAGCTACTTTTATTACTAGTTTACTTATCTTTACTACCTTTTTTATACTAAGACTAGCTACTATTAGTAAATAGGGTATTATTAGTAGAGGGGGTATCACTAATAGGGGTAAAGAGGTAAATATAATTATTAAATATATTAATAATAATATATATATAAATAATATTAAAAAAAAAAAAGTTAAACTTACTTTATTATAATAAAAATAGAAAATATTAATTAAAATAATTATATAAAAAGGGAAGAAAAAGAAGAAAGATAAAAGAAAAGTAAAAGGAGAAATATATATAAAAAAAGGGAAATATATTATTAAATAAAAATAGAAATAAAGAGAAAATAAAAGAAAAAGAAAGAAAGGGGAAAAGTAAAAGAATATAATTAGCTAATTAAAAGAATAAAATGAATATAAAAGGAAATTATAATTATAAAAAGAATATTTATTAATTACTAATATTAAAAATTTAAAAATTTAAAAGAGGAAAAGGATTATATCTAATTATAACTTATTTTAGATAAAAGATAGATAACTAAAGATAGATATCTAAACTTAATATAATAAGAATTATAATATTAAAAGGTTAAATAATATAATTTAATAAAATTAATAAAAAGAGAAAAGATAATAAAAGTAAATTAAAATTAAAATCTTAAGGAAATCACTTTTTATATTAAAAGGGGATATTAAAAAGGGGATATTAAAAAGGGAGGGTATATAATAAACTTATAATTATATATTATTAATTATAGTAGACTTATAATAAGTTAAAGATATAATAAATATATTATAATAATAAATATAAATAAAAGATTAAGATTTTAATATCTAATTATCTTTTTATAAAATCTATTATCTTATTTTTATTATTTTCTATTTAAATAATAATATTCTTTTATTTAAATTAAAGGTTATTAAAAAGTAAAATCTTTTAAATTTAAATAGAAAGCTAATATTATATAATATATATTAAATATTTATAAAAGAAATATTTTCTATATTTAAGTAAATTCTCTTAATAAACTTATAAGTTTTATTTTTAGAAATCTTATAATATCTATAACTTTAATTATTATTACTTTTATTTAAATTAGCTTTTTATAGTTTAATAGTATTTTTATTATATTTAAATATTACTTTTAATTTTATCTTTTATATTTTTTATAATTTCTCTATTACTTTTTATATAATATATATTATTATTATTAATTTAATATTATCTATTAACTTTACTATTATAATATTTTATAAAATATTAGTTTATTAAAAAGATAAATATAGTTTATTATATTTTAAAATTATAAATAGCTTTCTATAATAATAAAGTTTTAGCTTTATATACTTATATAATATATATTACTTTTATTATTATTTAGATTATTATTTTAATAAAATAATAATAATAGTTTTATTATGCTAAAGCTCCTCGCAGCTGCAGCCCATGGGTATCAGCCGAAGATCACCTGATGGTCCACGTGATCACCATCTGGGATCCAGGAAGATATAAAGGGGTCATCTAGTAGATAGGTAGCTAGGAAGGTAGAACTATCTTACTTACTTACTTACTTCTAATACCTAGCTTCATCTTAATAGTGACTATGGTATTGTGTAAGGATGTACTGCCGTAGCGACCCTTGAGGACTGGCAACCCTCGCAGCGACCGAGTGATCACTAGATCACTCTAGAGATACCACTATCTCTCCAACAGCTTCCTGACAGCTCGGTTGTCAGCAAGCCAGTTGGCACGACCTTTTGTCGTAACACTTAGACCCTCTTACTCTCTAAGCCCTCTCTAGTCTATCTCTAGTCTAAAGGGTTTTCTATACTAGTAGGTCTTCCTTCCTTTACATTACTAGTAGTTATCCTAATACTCTCCTATTACTCTTAGCTTAGTAAGCTAGGTAATCCTCCTACTAGTAGGCCCTAGTTGATCCCTAGTAGCTATATTATAACTTAAAGGTAGCTTATTTACCTTTATAGTATACTTACCTATAAGGGTTTTTATAAATAGCTTTAAGATATTTTAGTAAAAATCTTTTTACTATTATATTTCTTTTAGGTAAAAGATAGAATAATATAAGCTAAATTAGCTTTTATTAAAAACTATATTAGTATTTTAATAGAACTTAAAAACTAGAAAAATATTTAAAATATCTTTTTATTAGCTATTTTAGCTAATAAAAAATAATACTTACTATGGCTTTTTTAATTATCTTAGTTCAAGTATATTAGGGATGTGAAACTAAACTAGGTTTCTGAGTGGATTACCCTCTAAGGATAAGAACTAAGAACTGGGGTTATGAGAAGATTGCCCCCTTCGTAAGATGTCACTTCTCAAATTGCTAGCCCCTTGTAAGCTTTCCCCAGGTTTTAGACCGAAAGCTTCGCCTTGCCCTGTGCGTTAGTGTTTGTGAGTTTGCGGGGAAGTGGGCCGAAGTGGAGACGGTGGGTCATAATCATTCTCATTACCGCCAATGAAACAGTTTATCCGCTTCCCATGGGGCCTGCCCTGTAATATGGTGGCGATTGACAATATGGGCTGGACCACGAGCCTTGTAGACAGGGGCTTCGTTCAAGTTGCGAGGGCATGTACACCTAACCATCTTCAGAACGGTTACCTCGCGTACAACCAATACCCGACAATGGGACGTCATTTAACTCTTGATACCAATATGTTGGAGGTATTTATGGGGGCCTTTTATGCCTAGAGAGAATTTCTGGTCTTCCCTTGTAAATAGTTGGTGTAGAAAGGAAAACTTCATCTTGGAGTAGGAGGGTTTCTGCTTAATCAATGCATAAGCCGACTCCTGAAAAGGAGGGTACAAGGGGTACAAGCCAGCCAGGAGGATCTGAGGTAGCACACCATCCAGTCACCAAGTCACTTAAGTCACTGGCCTGTTGGGAAAGATGTGGCGTCGCTCGCTCAGACGATCGGGCGCTTTACCCCGCTCTATGTTCCAAGAAGCACTGATACCAGGTGCGGTCTCAAATCAGTTGGCATCCCCGTGACACGACAACAAGCCATAGATCCTGGTATATAGGCCAGTACTTTGCTTATAATCATGGAAGTCCCATGTCCCATACCCTTTATACATCTATCACCTCGTTCTCTCCTCTTTGCCCACCGAAATTTTCTCTTTTCGAATAAACCCAAGCTACTGAAACCTGGTCTTTCGAAATCCCGACCTGATCTTTATATACCACAGGTAAGAAATGTTGCCCTCGGGGACGTTGTTAATCCTGGCGATAAATGCTAAGTTGTTGCTTGGCAGTCCGCCGTCAAAGACTTTTGCTCAAGGACCCAAGAGCAAACATGGTCGGCCGCATTCCCTTCATCCGCTCATCCGAGTCCTTGTGCTATGGCGTTGCCGGCGTCGGTGCTCTCGCACCTTTCCTATGCTTTATCCCCGGCGCCGAAGAGCGCATCGCTATGCAAACCGCGCGCTGGGCTCCGCGCTGGGAGCGGAATATCTCGTTTATAACACCAACCGTTCAACGTGGTATCCGACGTGTAGAGCCCCCTTTGTCAAAGACGGTTCGAAAGATTGAGAATCGCCTTCCCCTGGAAAAGGTCGCGCGGCGCGTGGATACTGGGATTAAGCGTGGTCTCGTTAAGGTGTCGAGGTATTAGGAAAGGTATCTCGGACCTTTAAAGAGTACCGTGGTATAACATGGATAAAACAGTGTATTATGCATTTCACAGAGCACCTTTGCAGAGCATTCGGGGGAACCTGTACCTATTTCATGACTAGAGGAGATGCAAGGGTAGCTAGTTAGCGCAGCGATTTCATCTGTACTCCCCTGAGATATTGATAAGCGAAGGCTATTTCTCAGAGTTCCATCGCGAAGATATGATGTTCATACAATGTGTGTACGTGTAGTCCCGAAGGGTAGCTGAGACTGCAAGCAATGGTGTGTCATACTCGTTTTTATCGTGGTACTTAATGATAGAAGGGTACCACGGGGGCTTCAGCAGTCAGCCAGAAGTTGGTTTTCAACCTTTTCGCAGTCAACTAGCCTTGGCCTTAGCTTGCAGGGTGGGTTTCTGAAGTTCGAAAGAAAGTGTGCGGAGATTTGGGGGTCCATATCAACGTGAATTATCTTCGGAGCCTTGAATTTAGCTTGGACTGTGATACATGTATCCTTGCTGACCTCCTTTTGCAAACCAATGACGATGAAGATATGATCGAAAATAAAATGGCCCTCCACTTGACTGTGAGATTTCCCTTCTTTATGGGCCTTGCATATTCGGAGGTAGATGTGCACTTTGGCTTGTTTCTGGAACACGTGGGAGGGATTTCTGCGGCGTCCCAAATACCACTACAGAGAGACATGGATGAGATTTTGAAACGCTACGGATACTTTTATCATTGTATAACTCACAACGGTCAACAAGATAGTACGACGTCACAAGGAATATGGGGAATGCGATGAGACTCGCAGTCCATTTTCGAGCTGCTTTCTGGTACTCCTTAGTAGCGATTGCTTTCCTCGCCGGTGACAACTGTTGTATCCGCGGGCGTGATGCTTTAGGCTCAAGCCTACTAGTCTGCTGGGAGGGAGAAAGACGGCGCCCCGCGAGGGGCTGTAGGGGTTCACCGTTGTGTTTTGGGGGCTGGCGGTGGTATCGAGTTATCTCGCGAAAATGCGTCTGCTTTTGGGGTTCTCTGAGAGATCACCTTGGCACGAGGCTGAGATACTGGTTTATTGTGTGGCATTGTGGAAGATTTTGAGCTGGGTAACACGTTAACGGTGAGTCAGATGCATTGATAGCTTTTGAAAGAGGTTTCATCATGGCGCCATACGGGTATAGGGATGGTGTAAACGCGATAATTTGAAAAATCACTTATGGCCAATGTTGATCTAGGGCCGCCTTCTATATTGTTGGGTCGGCGAAATCGAAGAATGCTACACGCATGGGCAGGAAGAGGGACGAGGCAATCCCTTTCCTGGATGATATTGGAGACCGACGCTTGAAGTCACTTAGGGGTGAAAGATGACGTTCAAATTTGGTGTTTTGAAGGGTGAGCGAACTGGAGTTTGGGCAACCAAAAAATTGCTAAACTGAGAAGAGACGTGTGAAAGTGGGGCGATGGAACACGCAGTTTAGGATCTTATTAAGTTAGCAAGTGAGCCTTGAGCCCCACTGAACCCGGTCAACGAGTGACTCCTTTAAGAGTCTTAGGATGGTTCGTTGTTAATTGATCCATGGATGATACTTCCGGTTCCTAGAGACTGCTATGAAATAATTTCTCAGGACAATCATTGTTTTATTGGGGGAGGCGATGCAGAGGGCCGGGACAGGCAAAGGTCGTCACAATAAATGCATTATATGGCATGTTTAAGCAACGGCTACCGCCTTCTCACAAGTGAGATGAGCGTACCGAGGCATTTATCGTCAACGTCAATCCTAGGTGTGGCATAGGGAATATTATACTATCACGCCAGGGTGCCCGAGTTTTATCGAGCTTCCAACATGGTGTCGTCAATTCGCTGGCTCAGGGGCGATCACCACTTGAACATCGCGACGTATCATTGCAGGCCTGTGACTATTGAAAATGGCATGCCTAGCTAGCCGACAACTTCGGCCATCAAGGACGTGGGTAATATTTGATTACTTAGTGTTGGCGGGAGGGCTGACTGGAGCATCGCCGCTGGCGGTGCCCCGATCAGTACGACCCACACACACCTATTTAGATGGGAAACGGTTCCCCTTCTGGGAACCATTTCCCCCTTTCATCATCATCACTTTTTCTCCCATTTTTGGGATCCCTTTTCTTCATCCGTTCCGGTGATCCCATTTCCCACACTTAGAGACATAGAACACCCGCCAAAAGTACTCTACAAGGTAGCGCCTGTAGTGGTGAGGCTGACTGTCTACAAAATATCGCCTTTCTCCTTTGCAGCCAGGCCGGTAATCTATATGCCCCAAACGTCACTATTCCTAAGGCCATCTTGCCCTCAATCTCATAGAATTTGAGATCTATTCCCACTTGCCCCAGTGACTGGCTGACGACGAAATTATGGTGAGCTGTAGCCCACCCCTGCTTGCAGAGGAATTTGGGTGTTCTTACCGAGTACATGGTCTCCACAAGACCTCTGGGGTTTGATTGACCACTGCCGAGAACAAGGGCCAGTTTGAGACGTGGACCTCTTGTGATCAACATTGAAGCTTTTCCACCTGCCCGCATTACGTCATCAGCCGCGCAGAGGAGTGAGTACATATCGTGTATGGAGGTTATTGTCTTGAATTGTCCTTCCATCACTCGAGCTCACCTGCACTCGGCTTTTAAACGCTGAAGTGTTCAACCAAGCTCCCATAGCGATATGAATAATTCCGGTCATTGCACTTCCCGCCAAAGTCCTAATGTCTCTTGTTCCATACAACTTAAGGGAAGGGCGAGAGATCGTGCTGTATGTAAGCGCCTTAGCCCTCCACATGCTCGCGATTTTATCCTCTGGCCAATTTCTTCGATCTCTCACTTTTATATAGGCCATCAAGATCTATTGATTGAGGGCTAATTTTTATGATCTACTAGCCGGCACCAGAATTCTTTAGTCGTTCGAGATCCCTCTTCTCGCCGACTCGAGATCCGGGGTCTAGCTGCGTGTCCCACATGCCACCAACCACTCCACTCGTCGTCACCTGAACGCCGCTTCGATCTGCCAGTGCCTGGGGCCTCATATCTCGACCCAGATTATTTTCGAATGCTACGTGATACTAACTTAGGCACAGAAGAGAATTCAAGGCCGCGTAGCCCACCGAGTCCAACTCGTCGGCGAGTGCAACTTCCTCCAGTTCCAACCCAACGGTGGTTTCCAAAGCGAACAGCCGAAAAACGGTCCTGCCCTGACCGAGCATGCCCGAATTCCCCAAGAAGCCTTTAGTCCCAATTATTTCAAGGCTTTTTCGTAGAAGAAAAAGAGCTTGGTAGAGGGGGCAAGGGTGTTGTTCTGCTTGTCCGTCATGAAATTGATGGTTGTCATCTTGGTATAGTATCCGATCCGGCCCACACCCCATACCGAAAATTCAAGATTGGAGGGAAGACCTACGGGCTGATGACATTTTAGGTCATTTTGCTTGCAAGCGAGTTCCAGTAGGTGATGACCACGCCTGGCTTGAGAAGGGTAAGTATACCTTGACCTTCACTACCATTTCAAAAGTCTTACCAAGGGTTATCTTAGTCCTTGTCGAGGTAGAGTTACTCGCGAAGCTTTCCCATCCGAACCTCGTATCCTACCGTCATGTTTGGCTAGAGAATATGACTCTGAATCGATTCGGCCCGCCCGTGGCATGCGCATTCATTCTACAACAATACTGTAACGGCGGGGATTTGCTCCAGTACGTTGTTGGTAACGCCACCGGTGAGCCAACAAAAGAGGAGCTCAAGGCACGTATGCGGAGAAGATCGAGAGGGCAAACCGAAAGACCTGAAGAGCTTCACAATCAACTTTCATTTGAGGAGATATACTCCATTTTTAGGGATATAACGTCCGGGTTAGCGTATCTGCACGCAGCCGGCTATGTTCACCGAGATTTAAAACCGAGCAATTGCCTACTTCACCGCGAAGGTTCAAGTATCACCTGCTTGATTAGCGACTTTGGGGAAGTGCAAACTGAAGGTGGCGTGAGGAAGTCGACTGGTGCCACAGGGACAATCTCCTGGTGTGCCCCTGAAGTTTTGAGCACTGATGCAACTGGCAGATATGGGGAGTTCACGACAAAGTCGGATATCTTTTCTCTTGGAATGATACTTTACTTCATGTGTTTTGGACGTCTCCCTTACGCCAATGCAAACACTAAACACGAAGAGCTTGAGGACGTTGGTTTACTCAGAAGCGAAATCGTGGACTGGAAGGATTTACGGACGAACAAAGGGAGCGACCTGATCTCCCTTTCGAGCTTTACAAGCTCTTAACAAGGCTTCTACATCTTGAACCTCTCAATCGACCTGGCGCGGCCGAAGTTCTCGGGGCTATGAAGAATGAAAGCACTCTAGAAGGCAGACTGCCTCGGTGCCAAACACCCTCAACCATCACACAAAACAACCGCATTCAAAATTTAGATTCACCGCTGGCCCCTGGGACCCCACGTCGAGGTGAGTTTGTGAGTGCCCAATGGCCTTGAAGCGGCATGAATCCATGCCGACGGGAGTCAGGATGACCCAAGGATAATATCCGTTGGGAGGTTTGTATTGTATTTAACCTTTAGTAGATCCGCAAAGAAACCCAAAGAGTCCGAATTCAGACGAGAACCCCGACAAGGCCTCCGTGAGTGGGGTGGACACTAGCCTCATAGAAGGCGACCACAGTTGGTGTCGCCCTCGGCGTAGTAGCCGAGTCTCTCATGATCACGACTTAGATGCCGCTCCAGGGGCAAAGCGAGCATCCCAAGATGCTAATTCCTTATCAACGACAAGGGATTCCTCCACCAATGCGCCGCTTCTTCTGGCACCCCCACTAAGCCAGTGGGGCAGGGTCAGGCACAATCTACGTACCTTCACTGAGCGCCTCAATGAACTAATCGAGGATTCGATCTTGCAGCCCATGTTTCCCCGCATTCTGCTATTCCTCCTAAAAATCCTAACCTTGAGTTGGTCGTGTCGGCCTTATGCGTTCAACCTCACGGCGGGGCTTCCCTCATTCTTCTTGCTATTTCAGACCTTACTATGGCAACTTATCCCCTACACCCAAGATCTAGCCGCAGCTTCTGCAACACGGCGATGAACTGGGTACAAGCGCATATCTTTAGCCTCTTGCTCTTCGTGATGCATATGCTTCTCATTTGGGCCATGGCGCATTTTAGCATCCTCTGTCCCCCTCCGCTGCTCGATGTGCGGATTCCTTGGTAGAAGGTAGTTGCCTGGGCAACTTCTCGTTACTCTTGAGCTAGCCAGTCGCTTCGAGTCGCGCACCGCTCCAACCCTGCACCCACTGATACTCAGCTGTATGGCGATAAATTTTCAGAAACCCCTATGTATATTCTCACCCTTAGTACTGGTTTCCCGAAGTTGGAAAATACAGCGCCGAAATAATTAGCTCCAAACCAATAAATGACTCCTGGTGTAATATGAGGGCAGAGGGGCACCGATTTGGATCTCATCCCCTCAACAACAAAATGGCCACGAGATAGTGGTTCCTACCAATAGGAAACTCGCGGAATAGCTACTTGAACTCATGAGATCACTTGATGAGGGACGCGGGGGCTCGAATGTGGGGATCCGTCAAATCACGGAGCTGTCACGAATATGCCTGCCTTGGTATCCCATCTTGTCTGTATTGCGCTGGAAGCTTGATCATGTCGTAGAACTGGCTGAAGAGCTGTGCTTGGCTGTCAAGCGCAATCTGTGTTTCACACTGCCGTCTTGAACCGGGGTGGAGGAGCGACGGGGCGGAGGGTAATATGGCTTTCTTGTTGAAGCAACCCGAAGAATATCGGATTGTACCAAATCGGTATGAAATCGGTCCCGGATATACTGCCTCGGAAGGTTAACTTGTCCTAGGATGGGCGGAGAAGAGGCTGGGCTTGGTCAGCCTGTGTACCGGGCGAGCAAGGTATCCGCTTTTGTTGAAACGAAACAACGAAGAAATAGCAGCCGGCCCTTATCCAACCCGAACGCATTGTATAACCGTTTCGACCATCGATGCCCACTGCGAATCCCGTGACTCTATCTTGGGCATGAAGGGCAAATTCAACTATTTCTGTTAAGACCAAGAACGCTCCCCCACCCAAAGCGCAGGAGCAAGATCAATTGATGTTGGAGCTTCGAGCAGCTAAGAAACTCCAGTAGGTTCACAATTACCCCAGTATACTTAGAGCAGCCCTAGCTAAGGACGGCGTGTCTATCTAGTGCCCATTCAATCTGCGGTCTGGTAAACTAGGAAAGGCGGGCTGTACGATATCTCCTTGCCTCGTGATTGCTAGATACTCTCGCACGTATGTCGTGCGGGGCCATAAGTTGGCAACCGTTTACTTCCCCAAGGAGAACCTAATCAGGAAACACACGGTTAATGCGTGCCCCTTCACGTGCCTGTTCTCATCGTGTGATATCTCATACTCTCAGGAGGGTAGGATAAACGGAACAATGCTATGAAATGGGTTCTTGAAGTGGAGACAGGTGGAAGTAAGGCTCTTGCACTGCAAAGGTATGGCGTCGCATTACAAAACGGAACACATTGGCCCTTCCCTTTATACCAAAATCAATGGATGGCTCTCTTATCTTTTCTATATAACCCCCTTGTAGCCCACGCTTTTCGAGTCGGGGTATTTGGGTTAGTGTCTCTACATCTTCTACGATTCGAGCGTCAAGTGCCGCGCCTCAGCTGGCTTTAGCTTTATACATCAGGGTCTGCATTTGGGACAACCTAACCCGGCTACCACCTACCGCAAGCGCCGTTCCCCGTATGTTGTACTGAATAAGAATTCAGCCCAAATTAAACCGCAGTTAACAACGAATTAGGTCTGATAGTGAGCGTCTTAGTTTGCTTCTTGAGCAGCACATTGCTCCCAAATCAGGTGGCAGTAGACCTTGGGCGCTGTCAAGCAGCTTCAATGTGCCTACATAGGATTTTCCTTCACCACAAATGTGGACATCGCATCACGGAGTTGGTTGACTCTTGTGGGGATGTTGGATGCAATCGATTGCGGACACGAGACGTCTACACTAATAAATACATATGCATCGTGCAAAGCTGTACATTCTACGGACAGTTTTAGCGTATTGGGCGCGCCACGGCATTTTAATGATGGCAACAGACGAAGATAGGAGGACAGAAACGGGATTATCGCATGCGTGGTAATTAGTATTAGCGGTATCCAGAATGCAGAATAAAAAAGAATTTGTGTTCATCCACCACATCTTTGTTCAAGATCTCGACCCAAGGTTGCATATTAGTAGGGTGATAGGCTCGATCATGTTCCTGAAGCGACAAAGACAGGGTAAAGGGAAGACCCTGTCGTGCTGCCATGGCGCCGCGCTAATATAGAGCCTGCTTGTGCTCAGTTGGAAAGAGGCGGGTTTGAGAGGTTGCGGCTCTATCACCCTTTTCTTAGGATGCACTGTCCTGCGCGGTAATCGATGAAAGCAGAGCTATCGCGTCCGGGTTGAGTCGCGAGCCCTCCGAAAGCAAGTTTGGTGAGTGGGCGGGCCAAGGTGTGTTCCTCAGCTCAAGTGTTCCGAAGGTAGTGCGGCCAAAACAAAGTACACGTGGTCCGATGATATTGGGCTAAGGTGGAGCAGATATTGGTCGAAAATCTATCTTATTCTGTTTGCCCGTCTACATATCAATGCTATAGCGCTTGGTGACAAATTACTCTGCTAGCGAATGTCGTTGGCTACTCCCCGAATTTCTCAGCGAGATATTTTTCCGCGTCAAGTGCGGCCATGCAACCAGATCCTGAGTCAGTTGTTAGTAGGGTGATGCTAGCATGGATGAAGCCTTTAACCTACCCGCACTCGTGATTGCTTGTCGATATTTCTTGTCCTGAACATCGCCAGCGGCGAAACACCCTCCACTGCTGTCAAGGTTGTGCCAGGTTTTGTTACTATGTAGCCATCGACGTCAGTCTCAAGCTGCCCCTTGACGAGAGACGTGGCAGGATCATGCCCTATTGCGTAAAAGAGACCGTTTGCCTCAAGGACTTCTTCCACACTAGTCTCGGAGTTTTTAGTGACAAGGGCATTCATAAGTCCGTCATCACCACCCCTGACCTCGACTGGTTGAGTAGAAAACCGGACTGTAACCTTGGGATTAGAGAGCAGCCGGTTGGCCATTGTCTTGCTAGCTCGCAGCTTATCCCGGCGGACTAGCACTGTCACATGGCTGCCATATTTCGTCAAGAAGAGCGCTTCCTCCGCTGCGGAGTCGCCACCACCAACGACAATCAAAGGCTTGTTCCGAAAGATAGGAACAGCGCCATCGCATACAGCACAAGCGGAGATACCACGCTGCCAATACTTGTCCTCGCCTGGGAGATGAAGGCGACGTGCAGAGGCACCAGTTGCAATCACGACAGCATCGGCTGTGTGAGTCTCGGAACCAAACTCAGTAGTATATTTGAAGGGCTGTGTTGACAGGTCGAGCAAAGAAACAGTGTCCGTGATTACTTCCGTACCACAGCGTTCGGATTGTTCTTTCATCTTGTCCTGATGAGGGCGAACAGACGCTGTGAGATGGTGACTACAGGTAGCCGCGCGGGGTGAGGAGACTCACCATAAGTTCTTGTCCAAGGATGCCGCTAGGAAACCCAGGAAAATTTTCAACGTCGGTCGTTGTGGTCAATTGGCCACCAGCGGCCACGCCATTGGCCATGAAACCCTCATAAAGTACAGCTTAGACGGGTCAGCGCATATGGTCCAGAAGGGAGTAAAGAATAGATCCTACGCTTCAGCTCAGCTCTGGCGAGGTAGATAGCTGCCGTATGAGCAGCCGGACCCGACCCGATAACTTAACGTAGACATGTTAGACTAATTGTTACGTATAGTTCCCAAAGATGGGCGGCCACCTCCTTGACGGCGTCATTGGTGTCTAGGTAGACATACTGACGACTCTGTTATGCATGGTTCTGCTTAGTAGCGGCCAAAAGCGTACAGATATCTTAGGAGGGATAGAAGCGGTTGCGACAAGTAGCCCGGTTACCCCTCGGCGAAGAGTCCGGGGGTCACGAAGGAAAACAGCCTGAAGGTGAGGCGGGGTCTTGATACTGAAAGATGTTCACGCCGGCAAAGAAACGAACTATAAGATAAACCGGGTTCCAATGCTTTTCTCACAACGTGGTAGCGCCGTAGTAAGACCTTAGAGAGGGCTGGATCGAGGAAGGGTTTGTATGTGAAGTGAGGGAAGAGGTGGGCTGGAGATGGGCACGTCGTTTATCGATCTAAATAGCCTCTCCTGGCTTATAAATTGCTCAGATTGGACCCTACATTTGAAGAATTGTCTGCGAAAAACGAGTCAGATTAAACCCCACCAAGGGTCAACTAATTAGCGATGCTGATGACTAAAAGTAGGGGAGCTGGCTGAGGGGTGCTCCGAGACCGGGAACAGGATTTGTCTCGGTTGCCCATCAATGCTATAATTCTACTTAAAAATGGCAGTCTTCTAGATTGGCTCATCGAAGCTCGTCAGCGACACCCCCGGCACCGACACTTCCGTCTCGCTTTCCGAATCTCGCTCCTAACCCACCAATATCCCTCTTGAAAAATTTCCGAAATTCCTTAAGTTTTCGTTGATAGTCGCCTTTTCGCCTACACCAACGCTAGACCGCTCTGTGGTGCTACTACCCATCTCCCTTGCCGCATTTAGCAACTTCTCGCCGAGTGAACTTGCGTCAAACCTAGTTTGGAGGGCGCCCCGGTACTATGGTGATGGAACCTGATGCATTATGGGTTGGGCCACCTGCTGGCATGAGCGGAGCAAGTAGGCTTGAACTTGCGGCAAGCTTTTCACTTGAGGTGCTATCCCGGTGTACAATATAGAGGTCGATTAAATGAGGTTGGTCCTGTTTTCTCACACCTTTGATGTCCAATATTTTCCTGAAATTTGCTTCCGATCGGTCCGCGATGTGAATGAGATACGCCTGGACTAGACCTTCTGGTGGGGTAGGCCGCACCTGAAGGGTCTTCAGAAGAGGGTCCATACGACCCATGATTTGGCTCACCCGCTTTGCGAAGCTACTATGCCCAGGAAGAGATTCTGAGGACAAGGGGTGGTTTGATAGTAAGGTCTGGAAGGCTTTAGTGAGGACATATTTGTCTAGGAGCATCTGTACGATATGTTAACGATAAAGCCGCTCGCCAGAACCTGAGAAATACGTACCTGCTCAGCCCCTACTTCCGAGATAGGTTTTGATTGAACCATGTTGCTGATATAACTGGTCGCAATGTGCTCGATAAGATTATCGCAGAACGCGCGAGCATATTGGGACTTGTGGATGAGGGAAAGTATTTCCGTCGCTTTTCGATGAACGTGGTTAAGAAGCTCTCCAACATAAGAACTTTGATCACCAACGCTTTCCATGGCGCCCCAGTTTGTGTTTCTCATCTCTCGCCATGCCGGCTCACAATCTTGTAAGACGCTTTGTACCAATGCTAAGACAGCAGCGCTTGCGACGCCTAAGAAGGCATCGGACTGAGATGAGAGATCCACTTTAGTCAGTAGGTCCGAGTCGATCCTCTTTTTGATGTTCTCTTCGAGTTGGTTGGTATTGATATGCCAGAAATCGGCTGTGTTTAGGACCAGGATAATATCCTGAACTGGCCGATCGTGTTGGCCCGTGGATTGGAGAAAATGTAGAAGAATTTGCTCCGCATATTCGTCCAGGTGTTTTGCCAAGACCTGGGACAAATCCAGCAGTTTATCGCCCGTAGAAAGCTTTGCGCACTGAGAAAGGGTTATCTTGTAGAAGTGAAAAAGGTCGATAGCAGATGTAATAACAGTTTGTGGCGAGAATTCTTCGTCCGGGGGAGCAGTGGCTGGTTGCGGTATTTGGGAAGCATTGTAGATAGCTGCCTATCCTGGGATTCCACCCATAGACTGAGGTATGGCTCGAAAGCCACAGATATGGAACCATTATAGGTATGCGCCCGGTCTTCAACGGAGCTTAGTGTATCAACACTCGCGCGCGACCCGGGGGCGAATCGTTGACCCAGAGCTTGCTCAAAGTCTAGTGTTTCTTGAAGGCAATGTAATAGCAGATTGACGTCGATCTTGTTATCATCTGTCCTCCGCATGCTCTTCTCTAGTATTCCACAAAAATCGTCCCTCGTCCCGTCACAAAATGAAGTAACTAGCGCTTCACTCGCATGCCAATGTGGGGGAATAGGGCAGCATGCTCCTCGTCATAGGCCTTCATCATACGCTTGAACCAAGAATATCGGCGCCCAATATTATCAAGGCTACCAGCCTCGTCATTACCCCTAAATACTTGGCGATACTCACGAAGCTCAGTATTAACGTACCACGCCAGGAGTCGGGATCGTGCGGCTTCTCCCAGAGCGTCCATGACCACACATGCCTCCGTGAGGGTGCCCTTTCTAGAGGCAACTTCTCCTTTCGCAAAAGCGAGCTCAAAATCTTCGCATACTTGCTCTAGCAATTGCCGCTGGAGATCAGATACTCCTCTACTTAGGGCTGCAATCTGCTCGATGCCGCGATAGCTATTAAAATGTTTCATCAACTGCATGACCGCCTGAAGCAGGCCAGCGCACTCTTTATACTGTCGAAATTTTGCGAGAGCTCTAAGTTGCTCATACGCCGTTGTGAGCATTTGGAGGCGCTTCAGTGCCGTCATACTCTTTGTTAAATTCCGTTTTGTCCCGTCAAGGCGTTTAATATCTGCGGTCATAATCGTAATTCCTTTCTCGGTTTCGGTAGCGCGAACACGCACATCTTCGATCTTCCCAAAGAGCTCTTCAAGGTCGCCTTGTGCCGAGTGCATTCGTTCAAGGCTTGATTCTGATCCGTAAGCTTGAGCAAACTCCATAGCACATATCTCCTCGGAGAGCTCATCGTCGCGAATTAGGACATTATGGAGAACCTGGGGAATGGATGTGACCGCAGGCGGGTGAGTGAAGAGAGAGTTTAAGTCGTCAATCGGATCATAGTAAGCTGCGCATTGGTTTCTTAGCTGGCCTGTCCTATATTCTTGACAATAGAGCTAACATACCTTTTTCTTGGGCTGGGCCAGCCTTCGCCGCAACGGCCATGTCGGAAGAAGACGAAACAATAGAGATGAAGGGCTTGTGTCGGGAGCCACATCGACGTTAACGCTCCCTGAGAATTCGAGGACGTTGCGTGGAAGGGACAGAAGACGGGCGGTGGGGTATTACTACGGGAAGACGATTGTAGGATTGCTGTGACTTATACTGGTTAATCAATATTCCTCATTAAAAGGGAATTGACCTTTAACCTCCATACCAAAACTCAAGAATGATGGATGCATCTATGAATGTAGACAACGACATTTTATGCCCAATTAGTCACATTGACCATACATAGTACCTCGGTATACCTCAGTACACCTCATATTACTTTCCGCCACCATCTGAGCACTGGTAATGTGAAGTATTAATTGATCTCAGCCATTTCAGCCCTACCCCTTAGTAAACTTTACCCCTCCAAAAGGGCTTCCCTCAGAAAAGCAACACAGCACCCAGTAGCAAAAAAAAAAAAAGAAAAATAGTTCACCACAAAATACTAAGGTATACTACCTATAACATTTAAATTATAGAGGGGTTAAGGTAGGAACCTCGAGAGGATTAGGTGGTAAGGCACCTATCTAGGCTTGCCCAGCAAGCTATTAAGGTAACATCCATTAATAAGGTACCTTGGGAATCTTTGCTAGTTTAGAGGGTGCACGGATCAATTGGATCCATCCTGGACGGTTGTAAGTGATCAATACCTTTCAGAGCAATGAAGTTGAGTGCTGGAGGGGCAAAGGGCTTGAGTGTTGCCCTGAGAACGGGGTGGCGAAAGATCCATTTGATCGATTGCCTGCCCTGCTGTGGCTGAAAGTAGGGTGAGAGTGGTACATCGATTCATCTACACTGTTCAATGTTCTGTACATGTATTAAAAGATGTAGGATTACCGAATCCGTTTAGAAAACGGGGGCTTTAATTTAATGCCTAGAACCTATCTAGCCCGCTATATGAAATCGTGGCTCCGTGACTCCCTTGAGTCGTGGGCTTGCTCAATTGGGGCACTGCTGTTTATAAACTGCTCCGTAGCTATGAAGGGCACCTTCAACCATACCCATGATAGCAAGAACCTTTTCTTCCTCAAGACGCCTTCCCACGACCTGAATGCCCACTGGAAGTCCGTGCATCAAATCGGAGTTATAGTGTTCATATGCTCCCCTAGCGACCCCATTTAGCTTGCTGATATCAGTTGAGTTTGATAGCTTGTCTAATTCCCGGTCGACAGTCAATACTGGCAGGACACCGGCGGTGTAATCAAGCTGCAGGATCAATATCAGTTGAGCACATCATTTCAAGTACCTTTACGCATCTGACCGTCGCCTCGGGGCTATCCACATACCACATTGAATAAGAACGTATAGCCGCAGCTACTCACGGCTTCCTTCATAGCATCATGAGGGAGCGACGGGGTCGCGTTGGGTGGGGTGAGGAGAAAGTCGATATTCTCCTCATTCCACCACTGGAACCATTGCATCCGATAGGCCTCTCGTCGAGAAACAAGTTCCCAATTATCCTTGGTGGTTTTCGGATGCCAATCCTTCAAAGGTCCGCCCAAATATCATCTCGCCGAATGTACTTGACCCATAGATAATATAAATGTTTAACAATCCGAGGAAGCCGCATGTAGCGGCTCATTTGGCGTGCTCCGGCGTCCTCCCACTCCCCAAGACTGAAAAATTTCTTGAAAGTCTGACATCCGTCGGCATTCAGGAGATTTGCACCGAGGTAGAGCGCTTCGTTCGGGGAAGGTGGATCAATCTCAACTATGGTATGGCCAGCTTGACGAAGTGCGGCCTCAGCCGTCTCTAAGGCTCGCTTACAAGCCGGACTTGGGTCAACGACCCCATCGGTCCTCATTATTCCGATTCGCATGGCCGGTTTGTTGCGATACTGTTCGAAAACTTCCTCTCGCCATGAAAACGGGTGGACGGTACAGTCATATTTCCACGGCTCCGTTCGTATCAATGATTTGGTGAAGTAGGCAAGATCATTGAGAGTCCTTGCCATTGGGCTGAACACGCTAGGGACTCCTTCTTGGCCCGGCATGCTCGTGCACATTCCATGTTTAGGCCACCTCCCGGTTGAACAACGGAGGCTATATATGCCGGACCAGTGGGCTGGGACCCGTACGCTCCCGGCGACGTCGCTGCCGATTCCTATCCTTCCACCCAGTGCTAACAAGGCAGCTTCTCCTCCAGTTGAACCTCCGGGGAGAAGCTTGAATTATGGGGGTTTACGCACCTCCCCATACGTCATTTGTTGATTCGAAACTGAGGAGAGTGATCGGTACGTTGGTTTTAACATAAGGAACAGCGCCTGCTTCTTTCAGTAGCTGGACCATGGGGCCGTCATTTTGGGATTTGTTCCCAATAAATTGGCTATAGCCCACAGTCGTGTCAAACCCACCGACAGCGATGTTGTCTTTCAGGCTGATAGGAATGCCGGCAAGGGGCCCTTCTAAGTTGATGTCGCCACGGCGGAGCCACTCATGGGCGGCATCCACCATAACTTCCGTCACGCAGTTGGTTCTTTCTTGGGCGCTGACAGCGACTTTGGCGTAGGCATCTAAAATTGAGTGGGGATCAAGTTTACCAGTTTGCACATCGCGGACAAGTTCCGAGATATCTCCCTGCACAACGTTTAGTTCTGCTTGCGTTAGGCTCTCATTATCCCAGCCTTTCTTAAGTCCTTTCAGTCTCTGTTCCCGCTCTGCTTGCTTTTGTTGGCACGCGCGCCAATGGTTACGATAACCTGGGACGAGACACCACATGGCGGGGAGGATTAGGTACTGGTTGTTGGTTGCTTAGTTCGTTCGGTGGTTTGGTTTGAACAGTCTTGCGTAGGGTTCAATACAGTATTGATCAGGGACCAGCTCCTTTTATCAAGCCCAGATATTATTACTCCCGTTACAGCCCGTTGATAACCGCACCGGCATTCGCCCCACCACCCAGGGCTTTCCAGTCAGAGTCACCTTCTCCGCGCTCGGACTCGGGAAACGGACTTGCACTTACCCCACTCTCCCGAATCTCGGATCCCCGATAACCTAGAGTGGTTAGGAGTCATATAGGTCTTGTACCTCCCTTGAGATCATGAGCGATTGGCCTTTCAAGCGCTGGTGTAGAGCAAGGATGGCCATTATCGCGGGCCGCCTCGTTAATACCCTCCTTGTCACATTACAAGTTAGAGCCGACATCGGGCCTGACCAACTCGTCTAAGCTGTTCTTATAAGGCAGCTTGCAGCTGTTCTTCTATTCTCGCAGTGTCCTTGAAGTCCTTGTGCATCCACCACCCCCGATTCGAAGATGTCTAAAATACATGTAACAAACGACAATTGGAACGCAAAGGTAATTTTGAAGGCTCCTATACCATCAGCCTATCTAGTAATAACTAAATTGCCCATCATAGGCTTACCAGCATTCCGCTTCTTTCGTCCCGAGGCTTGCTAGCGAAGTTGTTCAGTGGCTAGACCTTCAGCCAGATGATAGGATCCTTGATATTGGGTGTGGAGGTAGGGTCATGCGTGATACGTTCTAGCGCCAGAGTCCGAGTGGTTGACATGATACATAATCTAGACGGTGTTCTTGACGCCCATTTTGCTGAGGTCATTGCGGCTGGCGACGGCTTTGTCTACGGCATTGATAGCTCTACAAAAATGATCCAGGCTGCTAGGAAGACAATCCAGAGTAAGCGGAATTGCAAATTTGAAGGTTGGGCGCATAATTTCCAAACAAGTCCCTGGATGTACACTGATCATATGATAGTGCTCGATGCAACCGAGATAGCAAGTCGCGAATCTCTACAGAAGATCCCCTTTACGAAAGTCTTTTCCAATGCAGCAATGCACTGGATCTTACGATCGGAACCCGAAAGGGTTCCTTTTTCCACTCGGTCCACCATATTCTCCAGCCGGGTGGAATTTTTGTATTTGAAATGGGTGGCTTAGGAAATGTCTGTGAGCTGAGAATGGCTTTGCTGATGGCGGTATCAAAGAGAGTCGGAATGGAAGCGGCTCGAAAAGCAGATCCGTGGTTTTCCCTGACGAAGCCTGGATCATTCACACCATGGAAAATGAAGTGGGTGGGTGGAAGGTGGAAAGAATTGAGCGTGTTTGGCGACCTACTCAAGCTGATCTTGGTGGAGTTGACGGGTGGTTGCGTCTCATGGGCCAGTGTTTTCTCGACGTGGTCCCTGAGGCACAGCAAGAGGAGTGTATTCAGGAGGCTATAGCAGCAGCACAAGTTGTTTGTCGGACACCAAGCGGCGGAGAAATGCTAAATTACGTGAGGCTCAGATGTCTTGCCCGAAAACTATAGCTCATTCCCGAGCCTCAACCAAGTGGCCATGCTAAGCGTCTCTTTCAGAGGGCTCATTAATATAAAAGCCATCCACTATACGAGAGCAACAGCCTAACTACTCAGGCTAACCACTGATATTTAACTATCAGGTAATAAGACATGTACCTATTCACTTATATAGACGCTCTCATCAATTATTAGCGAAGTATTTGAATATTCATTACATAGATTATGTATCTACTTTATATTACATATATACATCCATATGTATATATATATTATAAAATCTCTTATATTATATATTATATATATTAATAAAAAGTAAATATTAGTTAGCAAAATAATAAAATCTTAACTACTTTAATTAAGTTTTTTTTTAATATTAGTTGAAGTAATGAATTATTCATATATTAATAAAAATTATAAACTCTAGAAGCTATCAACATAATATTGTTTGAAATTCTAGGCTGAGTAAAAATATCAGCCTACGCAACTAAATGAGCCTGACCTACTTACTATAATCCACCCTTTAGTTTTTTCTTCTTCTTTTGTTGGTGTCGCGTCGCTATTCTTTGCTCTTAGATCTATAGATCAACAAGGGTCGTAATATTACCGAAAAGAGAAGAAGAAAAAGAAAACGAGCATACCTACCTTGGTAAATTCGTGTCTCACCATTTTCCTGGTACGCGATCACTTCCTTTCTTCGCTATCATCCAGTTTGGCCTCTTGATTTTATTTCACGGCTATGTCTGCCGACGACCAAGCTTTCCTAACTTTAGTATGTATAACCAACCCTCCTTCACACCCTCGTCGACAGACCCAGGCCTTCCCATATTCTAACGTCGAAGCGGCTAATCAGCTCTCCTCATTACCAAATCAACTATGGAGGTATTCGACGAACGTCGCCGATCTTGTTGATGCTCGCATCGAAGACGCTGCTGTCGCAGTTCGAACAAGCCTATCATCCGTGCCCTGGCTTCCCGACACCTTCAAACCTGCACCACCGCTGTCGGCTCCGATAGCAAGCGCCACAGTTCCACCAATACACCGACTACAAGAATGGGTGGTAAAGCATAGAATCATCTTTAGCGCGACAGTTGCTGTGGCTTGTGTTGTATCGTATCGAGCGTACCGAATAACTTCCTACCACCACAAGACGAGGAAAGCGAGAAAATCCAAGCGTAATGGCGGCCGCATTGAGGTTGTTCTGATCGCAGGTGGTTCCCCAGATCTACCGCTAACTAGGTCGCTGGCCCTTGACATGGAGCGCAAGGGGTTTATCGTTTATATCATCTGTAGCACGGCCGATGAGGAGTTACAGGTTCAAAAGCTTTCTCGCCCTGATATCCGCCCATTACAGGTTGATTTTACTAACGTAAGTTGAAATGTTAAATTCGAATGCCCTTTGAGGCGTTCCTGGCTTTCGCTGATCGCTTTGTACCTGTAGCCGCTCAGTGCCTCGCTTGCCGTCGAGAGGTTTGCCGCATTCTTGAGGTCTCCGTACTCCCCGGTACCACGGGCACGTCCAGATCATCTCGACCTCAAGGCTATCATGCTCATCCCCGCCTTGACTTACCAAACATCACCCATCGCGACAATACCTCCAAGCCATTTCGCCGATTTATTCAATAGCCATCTTCTACTTCCAGTTATCACGGTCCAGGGTCTCCTCCCTCTCCTTGATCAACGCCTAGGCCCAGTTGTGGAAAAGCCATCGCGCCCAAAACTTCTCGTCTTTACACCATCAATCATATCATCAATCAACCCACCTTTTCATGCCCCTGAGGCTACCGTTTGTTCAGCTTTGACTGCCTTCACGGAAGTCCTAGCCGCCGAACTTCGCCCGTTATCTATACCAGTCACACACGTTCAGCTTGGGACCTTTGATTTGAGTGGGTTCATGCCTGCCAGGCATCAGATGGATGACGCATGTATGCTCGCCTCCCGTTGGAATGAGAGTGCCCGGACGGCCTATGGGCGTAATTTCCTTATGCAGCACGAAGTCACAATCTCCGGGGAAGGATCCAAGGGATGAAGGGAAGCTCCCTCAGACATCTGCATAACACAGTTTTCGATGTGGTCGATGGGTCAGTAACAGCGACGACTTTGCGAGTTGGCCTAGGTTCTAGCCTCTATGGGTTTGTTGGGAGATGGGTGCCAAGAAGTTTGATAACCTGGATGATGGGTATCCGGCGAGTGGATGAGCTGTCAACCTGGCAGAAGGACTCGGCCGATGTTTCCCAAGCTAGCGTCGGCACTGATGAGAATGAGAAACCGAGAAACGATACTATCGCCATTCCACCAGATAGCCGGATAATGGGCAATGTTTGGACAGAACTTTGATAGATAGGTCCTGAATAGAGTTGAGCTTCCGCTTGCCCTCACAGAAATTGATTAACGCAGGGTCAAGCCCTCGCCGAAGGCTGCCAGATGATACGCATGGTACCGGAGGCTGGCGTATCATCATTGTAGATGCAGGACCATTCAGTGTCCTTACCTTAGCCGAGTCGATCTACAACATAAGGAAGAGTGGTGAAAGATCAATAGCCTCTTCCCCTAAACCTCCTTTCCTCTGCCGCGCCACTTGCCTCCGCGGGCGTGGCGATACCTCCCATCATCCCTATCCCGATCCCTATCCCGGTCTTTATTCCGATCCCTGTCATCGTCACCAAAAGTTTGTTCCATTCGCCTAGAAGAACTGATGTCATCTTCGTCTGATTTTTCTGGCTTCGGAACTGGTTTCTCCAGATTAGAGGTCCATTTTGCATGAACCCCTCCCTACACTCCTTTCCATCAGGGCAAAAGCCAGCCAGATAAAATGGGCACAAGGTTCGTCTTACATGCCTCTTGGCACATGTTTGGCCCAAAGGGCAAAATCCACGATCATAATGTGGGCAAGGAGGCATGCGGCTCTGTGGGTCGATGTGGAGGTAAAGGCACTCCTCGCCGTTGGAGCAGTACCCATTCCTTGCGAAAAAGTTGCATTCCGGCATTTTCCGCAAGTTGTACTCGTGAAGAAACTCGCACTGCTCGCCCTTTTACAAAGACCACGCAGCCAGTGCTTGCAGACAAGCGAATTTAGGCCAGACGCCGGTGGGCCACTGCCAGTTTTGATGGCTGCTGGGTCGCTAACGTGTCGGTCGAGGCATTTCGTCCCATTAGGGCAATGTCCTGTCGCGTAAGCTTTGCACACAGGTCTATCTGCAGGAAGGCCATGGTGGTGGACTTGACGGAGAAACGGGGAGAAGTGAAATGTGTATGGCTGAGCAGAGTGGCTTAGAATGATGCTTGCAAAGTTTTGCGCTTCTAAGGGGCTTGTTGTACGTGCCATGCCGTATTTTCTACCGTTATAAGGGACTTGGCTCGATGAAAGGGCTGGCTTACAATGGTTTTTGGTGGAGGTTACAAGAGGAAGTTGTATCTCGAAGTTCAAGTCATCAGCATGCACACCATTGTCTTTGGTTACACAATATTGATTATGTAATAAAATGGCGAGGTGGAGTCTGCATGGCATTGATTGAAATCTCTTGAGACGGATAGCTTGGCACAACACGTACATCCCAGAGGGCACAAACTTTAATGTGAAGGAAGTCAAATATTCCACCGCCTCCTCTCGCCTGATACACTCCAGTCCGCCTATTCTTAACAATATTTGAAGTTAATACCAGAAGCATCTCGAATGGCGGTCCAGATCGGAATTGTGAACGTGCACGATTCCGAAACGGCCAGTTGCACACCGCGCGGCAGTTCACCTGGCTGACAGGTCCTGGCGAGAGAATTGACAGAGGCTAGAAGGAGAAACGGGAGTATGAAAGAGAATCGAAGCTGTGAAATGAAATGGGAGTCGCCCCAGGGCAGGCGAAATCAGCGGCTATCTGGAGAGCGTAGCCATGTTGACAAGCGATCGCGCGACTCTTGCCCCCAGCGAGCTACTGAGGTTCTAGGCCCGCGCAGCAATAAATGGTCTGCCAGGTCTGCTCGGCCTACCATTGTTCGGGTCCGATGGTAAGTTCGGCCTCTCTGGTCTACCGTTGTTGGGGTCACTTGGTTCTGCTGGCCTGTTGGGGCGGCCACTAAGGTCTTGACGGGTTGCCGCTGGCTATCGAGCGGAGTAGCACTAGCTTGAGCAAGCAGAGGTAGGGCAGCCATAAAGGCCATGGTGAGCGACACAAGCTTCATTATAGCTGGAGGTTACCAAAGGATAGATTTTGTTGTAGTCAGATGGTTGGCCTGGGCTCCTCGTTAGGGATTAGTATATGTTTTCACATCTGAAGCAGAGGGTACTTGACTCACAGTA